GCCAAGGAGTCGGCAGTGCCGAGCACGGAGGGACACGGGCAGGACCCGGGCCCGGGAGGCTCCCTCTGTGCCGCAGCGCTGCAGCCCCGACATCTGCCCAGCCCTGGGCCAGCAGCCGCTGCTGGCGGGGCCCGGCAGGCCTTGGCTGGGGGGAGCCGGGCGGCCTCTGCGCGTCCCCCGCTCTCCTTTCAGCCCCCCCAGGGCAAACTGTCGGAAAAATCCTTCCTTTAGATTTAAAAACGGCAAAAAAATACCTGTAGGACAAGGAAAGTGTAGCGAGAATTTTTTTAATGCAGCGCGCTGGGCGCTCCAAAATCACAAGGATCTAAAAAGCACACCAACGGTTTGAAAATCGCGCCTTTTGTATTCTTTCCGTTCCATAAACTTGTGAGAAATAGAAACCCAGTCGGGCAATTTCCGATCAGAATTTTATTATATGATAAAAGCAAATTCAGCGCTGGGTGATCAGGGAAGGGGTTCAACAACTCCCAACGCCTGTCACACCCAAAGAAGACATTTGTTCTACATTTATTTCCAGCTACTACATGAATATTCATTATACATAAGTATAAACATTACACACTGTTAGATCAGACATTCCACAGATATTTCTTAACAAGAATGTTATCTATAAGCATCCATAATATATTGTTAAATCAGACTTTCAGCAGATGTTCGCTTGTTATCTATACAAAGTTATAAATTTTAAAAAAGGTGCTATTATCTAGCTAACTAAACAAAATTCTCTCACTATAAATCCTACACAAGGTAAAAGGGAGGTAACTTGTTTTATCCCTTTATAGGGGCCCAATTAAGTTTTACGACTTGTTTTTCTTTTCTCTCCAGGTCATATTAACCTTACACAGTTTTCTCTTAATTAGCTCAAATCATTTTCTCAGTTTATCACAAACTGTTATGTATTCATTGACCACCGGTTTTTTGCCTTAAAGGGTAATTTCTCTGACCCAGAAGGGGGTTTCTCTTGATTGATTGTGACTTATCCCCCTGTACACAATAGGCTGCCGCATAGAGGATACATCTTTATTTTTGTATTTTTCCCTACTCTCAGCCGTGAAAGGTTCCCTGTCATCAGGTCCAGGCAGGACCATCCACCTTACAGCCTCCGCAGTATGCCTAAAAAAACCTCTTAGAAAATAAAAAACCCACCCCCTTCCGTCTTCCTACCAAGTTCATTTGCTTATAATAAAACCAGGTTATTTATTTCTCATACAAACCATCTCCTGCCCTGCACCGGCCACACCAGAGGCAGCCCAGGGATGTCCCAGGCCAGAAGGAGCAGGTGATGGTGGGGCTGGAAGCCCCTGGCCCCGGCCAGCAGCTGGCGGGGGCAGCAGGGCGGGCAGGCCTGGCAGTGCCACAGAACCACAGGGCACTGCCCACCCCGTGCGCCCCTTGTGCCACAACAGGAGCCCAGCTGGGCCCCGCTGTGTCCAGCAGCAAACCCAGACACACCCCCTGGCACAGGGGGCTGAGACGCTTAGAATGATAATAAACAATCCAATCTGAGGGTCCGAAACTGAATAGTTTATTGTACAAAACTTTTGGTTTATATAGGGTTCAGAGAAGGAGGGGCATACATTGTATTCACAGCTAGGGTTAAAGGTCTTGGAAGTGCAGGGAGATATTTTTCTTCAAACAGATAAACAAATATTTCTTTATCACAATCACAACAGATGGGGGTAAACAAAGGTGGTAAAGGGATTTACTTCTGTAGTCTAGAAGTCTATTTAATTAAAAGTTAGTGTAAGGATATCAGAGAGCAAATGTAAACAGGCTTTCTTGTCTGTGTTTAAATCTCAAGGTTTCTGGCTAAGATCATTTCTTACGTCTGCTGTGTCCTAAAGAATTCCTACCGCAACAGGGGGCAGCTTCAGCTGCTCCTCCATGTGCCCAGCAGGGCACAGGACGGAGACCCCGGCACAAGAGGAGGCACATTCGGCTGCTCCTGAGCCAGCAGAGCCCCAGAGCCCCTGTGCTACTCTAGGCCTGCAGAGCTTCCTCCTGCCCTGCACAAAATCATCTCAGGCAGCTGCCCTGGAGCAGTCTGGGGCTGATCCCTGGGATCTCAGTTCCCTTGAGGAGATGTGAAAAGACTCCAGGAGATGCCTGTGAGGAGTCTCATGTAGATCCTGGAAGACGCAGAATCTACAAAAGAAGAAAAATCATCTTGCCTACCTGCCTTGGAGGAGTCTGGACTGACACACAAGATTTCAGATGCTGAAATCAGAGACCAAGACTCCAGGAGAAGCCTGGGAGGAGTCTCAAGTAGATCCTGGAAGATCCTGGAACTACAAAAAGAAAAAAACCCGATATCTGGAATCATCCCTGGAATAGTTTAGGGTTACTATCCAGGATTTCAGGTCCCCAGATGAGAGATGAAGACTCCAGGCAATGTTTGAGAAGGCTCCAGCTGGGTCCCAGAGGATGCATTTTCCTTCAAAAGAGAAAAATCATCTTGGGTACCTGCGTTGGAGCTTCTACCCGGGATATCAAGTGCCTGAATCAGAGATGAAAAGACTCTGGGAGATGCCAGGAGGAGTCTCTAGTGCATCCTGGAGTAGAGAGCTACTTCCAAACAAGCAAAAACATCTCGGAAAGCCTCCCTGGAGGAATCTGAGGCTGCTTCCTGGGAACTCAGCTTCCTTGAGGAGATGCGAAGACTCTGGGACACACCTGGGTTGAGTCTGAGGTGGATTCCACAGCAAAAATTTACCTCCAAAGGAGAAAAAACATATTGGATACCTTTCTTGGAAGATTCTGAGCCTGGGGAGAGCAACTCAGGTCCCAAAATCAGAGATTAAAATACTCCAGGAGAATCATGGGAGGAGTCTTGGGTGAATACAGGAGGACACAGTTTCCTGCAAAAGGGAAAAAATCATCTTGGGCAGCTTCCCTGGAGTAGCCTGGGGCTGCTTCCTGGGCTCTCAGCTCCCTTGAAGAGATGTGAAAAGACAGAAGAGTCTCTGCCTGGGAAGAGTCTCTGATAGATCCTGGAAGATTCAGGATGCAAAAAAAAGGAAAATCATCTGAGATACCTGCCTAGGAGGAGTCTGGAGCTGCTACCTGGGATCTCATCTCCCCTGAGGAGGTGGCAGGTGGGGGGCACCCAGCCGGGCCTGGGGAGGGGAATAAACTGGAGAAAAATTAGGAAATTGTTGTTTTTGCTGTTTAATCTATTTATTCTTCCCATGTGGAAACCAAAGGTTTAATGTGATTGAGGGAGGTAAAAATGTAATGAAATTACAAATGTTAGGACTCTATTTATGGTGTAAAAATTAATTGTAGTTAGTAGAATTATTAATTAGAATTAATAGAGTAAATAGCATTATTACTCTACTAATATATTAATATGTTTCTATAGAATTATAGTCAGTGCAATAACTGTATCTATCACTGGTCATTACCCAGGGCCTGGTGACCCCGAAAAGATCAGGGGACCTCAATGGGACACAAATGAGGGCCGTCCAAAATCAACAAAATATCTGAGCGAAAACGGCCTCAAGTTGTTCCAGGGGAGGTTTAGATGGATATTAGGAAAATGTTTTTGCCAGGGAAAGGGTTGTGCAGCCCTGGCACAGAGCAGTGGTAGAGTCACCATCCCTGGAGGTGCCCAAAACAAGCGTGGATGTGACACCTCAGGACATGTTTTAGTGGTGGCCGTGGCAGTGGTGGGTTAATGGTTGGCCTTAAAGGTCTCAGAGGGTTTTTCCAACCTCAACCATGAGATGACCATGAACACAAGGTGATTGTGACCATGATGTGATCAAAACCATGAGATGACTGACCATGAGATGATTGTGAAACTTAGATGACCATGAGATCCACAACACAACCATGGCCATGAGGTGATAAAAACCATGAGATGGCCATGACCATGCCCATGACGTGCCCCTGAGTTTCCCTGAGGTGACCATGACACTGAGATGCCCCTTCAACCCCTTCCCCAGCTCCAGGACCCCCCTGCAGCCCTTTATCCTGCACCAATACCCTCCTACTACTACTTTCCCAGGCACTCTCCCTCTTCCAGACCTCCTCTTTTCCTTGACACTGTCACTCCTTTGAACCCCCATTCCTGGGCACTGGGACGCCCCTGCACCCATTTCCCTGGCTCTGCAACCCCTTTTCCAGCCATCCCACCTCTCTCAGTCCCTGGATCTCCTGTTTCCTTGACCCTGGGGACTCCCAGACCACCATTCCCAGCCATCCCAGGTCACCTCGCCCCCAGCCCTGCTTTCCTTGAACCCAGGTACCTCTGAAACCCCTTCCTGCCTCTTCCAGTTCTCCCAGTTCCCCCTTTTCTTAATCCACGGACCCTCCAAACCCCCCCAGTATCCATGTCCCCCCCAGTTCTCCACTCCCAGCTCTTCCCACACATGGCTCTGTCAGAGCCCGTGTCATGACCTGCCCCAGAGGCACCGCAACAGGTTCTTTTCCTGAGGGATCCCTTGGGGGGAATGAAAGAGAAACACCGCTGGAGAACTGTAAGGGGGGTACTTTTGAATTAGATGATCAATGGAGCATAGAGGCGTGAGAAAGGAATCATATTAGGATGTGAAACCAGCTAGAGTATGGTACAGTGTAACTTCATGGCACAAGCTAATTGTAAGGTCCATTGTGCTTTTTAGCAAGTCAGCCTGATATCCCCTATTATCAGAGCTGAGTTCTTCCTTGGTTTTGCTACATATTGCAAGATAGATACATCTACCCTTGAAACACAATGGTAGAGGTCATACATAGGGGTGAGAAAGATGATGATGGGAGGAAGATGATGTGGGCAGGGGTCACTCGCCCCTTGCCCTACAAGTAGGGCATGCGCAGACTGTTGCCATGAGGTGATGATCAGGGGGGGTTTGGCTGCCACTCAGGCATCACCTTATACTGGGTACTGGCCCTACGTGGTGTAATGTGGAACTGATAAAAATGGGGTGTCGGGACTGCTGAGCTGAGCGATCCTCATCCTACCACCGAGACTGTGTTGCTCCGTGGGGACGCCCGCTAAGCAAGAGTACCGACCAGCTGCTGCAGATCCTGACAGCCCTGGCCTGTCTGTGTGGGTAAGCACAGTTTTTTGATAGGAAGCAACTGAGAGAACAAACTTTTTAATACCTTTTTAGTGTTCCCTTAATTCCCCTTTTATGTTTATAGTATTTTTTCCTTTTAATTTCCCTTTTTACTAACCAATATCGTGTTATCCATAATACTGTGTTAAGATCCTTATTTGGTATCCCCTTTTTCACTAGTTAATACTGTATTAAATGCTGTTCGTAGTATTTCTTTTAATGCCACCCGATAAGG